CCGCTTGTGAAAAGTTCTGCTCAAGTCTTGGCTATTGAACAGCGAAAATCGCAGGTCTCTATCTCATTCCTATCAAAAGTTATTCAAAAAGCAACCAGCGGTCTGACCATTTGGAACGGATAGTAATACTTTGCTCTTTCTATGCTACCTGCGTTTATTGATCCCAAGGCGAGATACGCTAATGTAAAGACCAAATCATATATACCGTATCGCTTTAACGATTTCGATAGATAGTGAACAATTAGCTCCTCTTCCACTGCTAGGCGTTAATTCAGAAGCTTTTTGGATGAAGCCTCACAACCAATCAGCACCATACAAGTTCACATTAGTGAAACGGTAAAATTTTTGACAACAAGCTTCCCATAGTCGCATCACGCTACAAAGCTTAACGAGCTAGATTATCACAACAGACATTTTAACTTAGCAAAGCAGCTCACTTTGTCTTGGGGTGGTTTACAAGGAAACACCCTACATCAATCGATTCTGAATTTGATGAACATTCCCAATATGCTCACCCCTTTCCTGGACATCTGTTATTTTTTGAGAAAGAAACGAAAACTGTTTTTACTTGGAAACTAGCGCTTTTTATTCAATTCTACCATTTTTTCTCCGTTCTCTCATTTCTCTTATTTTCAGACGCTATCAGAATAAACAGACAGAACCAAAAATAGAATATTAGTGAGTGTGTATTGAACATTGATTTGTATATGAGAAGACTTCTTACAATCAACCGGTTGTTTTCTGCGTCAGTAATTTCATCATTAGCCCATGATTAATTGATCCTAGGCCGGAAACAGGATCGTATCCTTTCTGAGCTTCAAAACCATATTGACAACAAACTGACCCAGACTGACAATTGTTTTTGCCGGTAACAATATCGTAGAATACTTCTGGATAGGTTCGTGCTAATTGATAAAGTAAAGGATTTAAGAAACCCAATGGTTTCATGTCAAGTTTTAATCGTTGATCATTGATTAAACTGAACAGACCAGCGGTAGTCGGAGAGCTGGCTGACGTACCTAAAAACTCGAAACAAGAGTTTTATCATACGCAAAAATCATCGTCCGTTACACATACCATCTACAAGGTTATTAAAGTTTCCTTGCACTTTTATGCTATAAGCATGTCCAAGTAAGGTAATATCAGGATATGCACGATTACTTTTATTAAAATATGTAGATGCTGGTAGACGCTTACTGGCTGAAGCCAAATAATTCTGAACAAATGTTTTTTGCCAAGATGGCATTGATTGATATTCCGAAAATCCACCACCGGATGTTATGGAACAGCCTGTCAAGTCATTTGTATAAGCAACAATTTCTCCAAGACATATGCCACTACCTTGTGGTATATATCGACAACTGCCGTTAACACCTCGAACTAGCTGTGTAGCACCAACACTAGTGACATAAGGTGACGAAGCCGGGTACAGAGGCAGAAAAGGTTTTGGACAAACACCAACCTCGCTCGATATTCCATCGTCGCCTGAGCTAACGAAAATCGTCTTTCCTGAGACACCCATCTTCATAAACTGTACGTCATACATACGAATCACTTTTCGTTCAAATAGTCTTGCATTGCCACCGTAACTTATGGAATAAACGAGTGGAACAACATTACTTTTATTCGACTCTAATGTCGCTAATTCTGCGAAAAACGGTGCAAAACCGACATTTGGCGTTTGAATATAATCTGTCACGATACCAGCACCCATTGCTGCCATGTATTCCATGTCCAATGATGTTTCCATTTCATCATATGATGCATTCTTATAATCAACTCCATAGACTTTACCTATCTTCAAATTGAAGTCTTTCCCAAAGCTTTGTGTAAATGCTTTGAACGATTTTAGATTATAATATTCTGAAAACCCCACAACAGCTTGTCTACTCTTTATATGACGTTTCTCTTTAATGGTACTCATGTTGACATTATAAAATGATGCCAAAAGCGCTGGTGACACGTTAGACACTTGTTCAAATTTCTTGATCGCTGAAGAAGAATAACTTGTCTTACCATTCTTGACAAATTGTGTTTGAACAGAAACTTTACTCTGTTGATATTTATCACTATCATATGCTAGAACGAAGTGGCATACCACTCTAGAAAGATCCATAATATTCTTTGTACATATATCCCAAATACTGATCTCCGTCGCTTGATTGCACACTTGACAACTGGCGTTCTTCGATGATACAAGTTGCTTTTCTGTTGATGAGAGACCTTCTAAAGTGATTTGATAGCCTCTAAATTCCGAACATATGCTACCACTTGCATATTCACCATTTGAACATTTTAATTGAATATAAAACTCAATTTTCTTTCCACTTTTCTTAAAAGATACTATGCCAGGGGCATTTGATTGGTTCTCATCGGCTAATTGATGTATTGCCGTAGATCTGGTTAACACTATTGGAAATCCACTGAGTCCTTCAATATGATCAATATGATCAGAAATAATGCTTGATAGTTGAAACTGCCTCGCTTTGAATGTCAGTTGTCCACTGAGACGATGTTGATACGTGTTTAGGTTCGTTTGAAACAATTGTTCAATTAGGCGCACTTTTGGCTGTCTCCTTATTGAGTGACGTCGTGCAAATGGACGCGATATTTAGCTGTATCGCTATTATCAACGTTTTACTGAACAACTTGTAGTGTGAAATGATTTTACTCCTTGCTACACAATATACGAATACGAAGAGGTAATTGGACAATCAGAAACTCTTTATGAGCAGTTGATCTAATATTAAGCCCGTCATGTTGTTGTAACCACTTTTCAACAATTGCACCACTTTTTGTTGTCTCATTGAGTAACTGTTGATGTATTTCATCATAGGACAGAAATTTACCATAGTCGGCATGCGTTGGATCGCTTACTTGCTCAAACTTTCGTTCTAGATCCGCAACTTGTGAATCATGGCTTTTCATGACAAAAATGAGTTGAACACTCTGAGTTGGCCTCGGTTTTGAATCGGCTAACAATTTCCAATGCTCAACAGGCACATTCACCACGACTGATTTTCCGATTGCTGAAGTTCCATAACTGAATACAGATGTCAGCAATGTACATATACAGAGAGAGAATCGTGATGTGTTTCTCATTATTCTGTATTCGTTAATTAGCAGACAAAGGTGGCAGTCTGCGTCTCTTATATACAATAAAGATTGTACCCGCGAAAAGATGTGTGACAAAATGGTTTATCAATGAGAAAATCAGTCAAGATATCCTTTAACTCAAGGACATTTGTGTGTGTAGGAGAAATACATCATTTTCTCCTAATGGATGGCAAATGAATTTCTTTTACAGAACACTAGACGCGCATGACTTCACTGAAGTCATTGTGTGAGAGGAAAAAAGTATATATTCGAAAACACAAACATCAATGTGAAGGTAGCTTCGGTGATGATAGGTTAC